TCTCTCTCTCTCTCTCTCTCGCTCTCTCTCTTTCTCTCTCGCGCATCTCCCAAGTACTAACCTTCCTCTCTCTTTCTCTATCTCGCAGCCCGTGAAGCCAGCTGCTGCGAAGAAGAAGGCCGCCTCCTCCGGCTCCTCATCATCATCCGAGGAGGAGGAAGAAGAGAAGACTAAGAAACCAGCAAAGCCGGCGGTCGCCGCGGCGACGGCAACGACAAAGAAACCCGCTGAGAGTTCGTCGAGCGAGGATAGCTCCTCAGATGATTCGTCCGACGATGCGGCCAAGGTCAAGGCCAAGGTCACGCCCGCCAAGGTCGCGCCGGCGGCCAAGGGCAAGAAGGAGAGTTCGTCTTCGAGCGAAGACAGTAGCAGCGAGGAAGAGGAGGTGAAGAAGAAACCGACAGCGGCGCCCCCTGCCGGCAAGAAGGTCGCTGCCGCCAAGAAGGAGTCTAGCTCTTCGGATGATTCCTCCGATTCTTCGTCGTCGGAAGAGGAGGAGAAGAAGGAGAAGGCAACGAAGAAGACGCCAGCTGCGGGGAAACCGGTGGCTGCGGCGAAGAAGAAGAAGAAGGAAGACAGTTCGAGCTCGGAGGCGGATAGCTCGAGTTCGTCGGAGGAGGAGGAGGCTGCGGCGGCGACGAAGAAGAAACCCGCAGCGGCGCCACCTGCTGGCGGTGCGCAGAAGAGGAAGCGAGACTCGAGCAGCAGCGGCGATTCTAGTTCCTCTTCCGAAGAGGAGGAGGAGAAGGAGAAAGAGAAGCCCTCACCCGCAAAGAAAGCCAAGCCCGCCAAATCATCGTCGTCGTCGGAGGAGGATTCGTCTAGTAGCGAAGAGGAGGAGGAGAAGGTGGGCAAGGGGAAGGCCGTAGCCGGGAAGGTTCCTGCCAAACCCGCGCCGAAGAAGAAGAAGGAGGAGTCGAGCGATTCTTCTTCCGGAAGCGAAGATTCATCCTCGGAGGAGGAAGAGGAAGCCGCGAAACCCAAGCCGCCGGTGGCGAAACAAGGAGCCAAGAAACCCGCCGCAAAGAAGGCGGCCAAGAAGGAATCTTCCTCTTCCTCCGCTTCCAGCAGCGAAGAGGAGGAAGAGGAGAAGAAACCGGCGACGAAAAAGACGCCGGCAGCGAAGGCGAAACCCGCGGCGAAGAAAAAGAAGGAGGAATCGTCGAGCTCCGAAGACAGCAGTTCTGAGGAGGAGCCCGCGGCTCCCCCTGCAGGAAAGAAGGCGGCGGCGGCGCCCCCTACAGGAAAGAAGGCGGCGGGGAAGAAAGCCGAGTCGAGTTCCGAGGACAGCTCTTCCTCCTCTTCGGACGAGGAGGAGAAGGTCAAGGGGAAGGTCGCAAGCAAGCCCGCTGCGGCGACGGCAGCGACGAAGAAGAACAAGAAGAAGGATTCCTCCAGCTCAGATTCGAGTTCCGACGAGGAGGCGACAGCGGCGCCCCCTAAGTTCCCGACGAAGCGAGCGCAGCTGGCGGCGGGCAAGAAGGCCGGGGAACCGAGCAGCAGTAGCAGCGAGGAGAGCTCCGACGACGAACCGGCGCCCCCTGGAGGCGGCGCCGCCGCCGCGAAGAAACCCGCGAGTTCGTCCGACGACTCGTCTTCGTCGTCCGACAGCGACGACGCGCCGAAGTCGACCTCGACGCCGGCGGCGCCATCTGCAGGCGCAAAGCGGAAACGCGGGAAGGCGGCGGCGGGGAGTTCGAGCGAGGAGTCGTCGTGGTCGAGCGACGAGGTGTCGGCGGCGAAGCGCGCGAAACAAGGGGCTAGCAAGAAACCGGGCGCCGGGTCGTCTTCGGAGTCCAGTTCGTCGTCGGAAGAGGAGGAGGAGGCGGGGAAGCGAGGGAAAGACGCTAGCGCCCTCGGTGGAGGCGACGGGAAGGCGGTGACTCCGCTCGTCAACGGACTGCCGAAGTCCGCCAAAGGTGACAAAGTAGGTGTGAGGCGCGCAGCGTGGTTACCGCTAGGGGGCGCCAGTCTCCGAAATTAACCACTGGCCCGGTATCCGAGGCCAGTAAATTTTCCGTGTGGCCAATGAAACTGGTAAATGAACAAGCCCGATGGGCCAGTGGAAAAAAATGGAGTAAATGGTATATTAATGATATTTCAGCTTCTCTATGTGATGATCAGTCTGAGAATTTACCGAAATTCCCGATATTTTGTATGAAAATTTACCGATATTAACCGATAGGGCATCATATTCCCGATCTTAAGTAGGGGAAGTAACTAGTCAACACCATGCGTGTTTGTCGCCGCTAGGCAACAATTTGCGGTTTCTGTTCCGGTTTGGTTTCTCTTTTCATAATATGATGATCATTGATTCGGGCCTGTAAAACCTAGTGTGGGCCAGTGAAGTATACATTTCTACAGGCCCGCTGGGCCAATGAGGTTGGAAGTTTTTCGTGGAGACTGGTGCGCTGGCAGCAGGATGGGGGGGGGAAGGGATATAGGCGGGAGAGAGAAGGTCGGCATACGTTTCGATAGCTCAGAGTATGATCGTGACGGCACGCACGAACTCGGCTATCTCCAAAGGTGAATGCAGAGATACTAACTTTGTGAGTATTTTGTTGTCGAACTCTGGGCCGTTATCCGAGAGTAGAATCCGAGGCGCTGAATGCCGATGAAAGATCTCTGTTTCAGTGTCCGAAAGGTCGAAGGCGAGAGTTACAATCCCAGAACAGACTACTATCAGAATATATTATATATTCAGAACGTTCCTATACAGAACTATTGGCGTTCTATTGTCTCTCGGCCGTATGCATTCACCTTCGGAGATAGCCGAGTTCGTGCGTGACGTCGCGATCATACTCTCAGCTATCGAAACATATGCTGACCGAGAGAGAAGCAGAGATGCCAACCACTACGATTTATCCGTATTTTATACGAAATTTCAATTCCTTTTGCCACCACTACGACAGTTTTTGTATCAAAACTATAAGTACGAATTTCACTGTGATCGACAAAAAAAATTTTTGTGTGAATTTTTTATATTTTAACCCTCAGAATGGCAGGAAATTGGGCATCTCAGAATCAAACAATTTTCCCCGGTGCATGCGTGACGCCTCGAACTACTAATTTGATGGCCAGAAACTACAGATTGCTTCAAATATGTGTTGGCATCCCTGGAGAAGGGACCCGAAGTGATAGGGTGGAGAGAGTGATAAAGACGCAACGAGACGTTACCGTCCGTGGCGCTGGCATGGGGAGAGGGGGAGAGGGGGACGTGGGTCGGAGAGAGAAGGGAGAGAGAAAGGTGGAGAGAGAAGGGTGAGGGTGGAGAGAGTGATAAAGAGAAGAGGTGGGAAGTAGAGAGGGAGAGGGGGTGTGAGATAGGCAAGAAAGAGAGAAATGGGTGTGAGATAGGCGAAGGAGAGGGAAAGGGATGTGAGATAGGCGAGGGAGAGGGAAAGTGATGTAAGATAGGCGAGGGAGAGGGAGAGGGGTGTGAGATAGGTGAGGGAGAGAGAAAGGGATGTGAGATAGGCAAGGGAGAGAGAAAGGGATGTGAGATACGGCTGAGGAGAGAGAAAGCGGAGTGGTTAGGTTAAGGGAGAGAGAAAGGGATGTGAGATAGGCAAGGGAGAGAGAAAGGGGTGTGAGATAAGTTAGGGAGATAAACAGAGGGGGTGCCGGTGCAGAGTAATGCTGTAAATTTAGAAGTGGAGCTAGCGCCATGGATCGATCCCTCGACTGTCTGTGTTTTCACGCTGTGCTTTATCTCTCTGTTTCAGTCGACGCCGTTCAGAAGGGTAAACGTAGACAGGGTAGAAGTTGATTGCAGACTCACCAACAATTCGTTCGAAGCGAAGGTTAGTAGAAAATAAATCGAATAGTGTCTCAAAATTCTCAAAAAAACTGTCGGATCTCGTTTCCAAGTTGTTGTCGTG